CTAGTCAGCGTCGGCCAAATGTCCACTACATGGGTAACTGTATTGTGTTTCCCACCTAACCCATGTATTTTGTTTGTTTATTACTATTGTTATCACTGACGCATATTGGGATGCGGAAAGTGGTCCTTTTTATGACAAATAGGCGTCAATAACTTTTGCGCAAAAAAAAAAAGGCTCAAATTCATCAGGAGAGGGTCAGATTTAGCCGGTGGTCTTTAAGTGTGCTACAGGGGCAATAACTCGAGACGATGGACAGGGCAGGCGTACACAAAAAAATGACCGATCAAAATCTAGTCTGAAGACTGAAGAAAGTGAAGTTCTGATGAGGGGACGCCATTGTGATTTAAATTCTAATAAGCTGCATCTCCGGGTCCTGAACACGCATCTGATTATTTTTCTTATTATCACTATTGTCACAAAGCTTTCTGCCATATCATTAATGTTCAGTGCTTTATTTTAACCTTCATTTCACATTAGTGTCTATGCACTGCGTAAAAGATGCCTTGCAGATTTGTATTTCTGGCCAGGCACTGGGCGAAAGCCGACTTTAGTGCTCCGAACAGTCCCAAAAGATGGCCCAAAATCCGTTTGAACGCAAGTGCGGCTAATTTCCCCGTACGAGATGCTTTGTTTCGCTGATCTGCGATTCCTTAATTGCTCAGCAAATGTTCGATTTGTTCTTCTGACGAATGGCTTATCAGATGCGCAGCAAATGCACCAGTTTTTTTTTTTTGTGCTACTCCGTCGGAGAATGGAATTCAGCTCAGTATATTTTTGTCCGCACATTCCAGGCATTCTTTCTGCATAAAAAAATGTTTTGGTACAGGTATCCATTCACTGGACAAGGCCAAAGAATAGCCGCTGCGTGCCGTGCTACAGCGAACCACTAAATTGTCTTTCTGAGTTCCAAGTCCCATCTTCTATCTTTAGAAGCAGTGTTTCACAGACTGCTGATTGCTTTAATAATTTATAGCAATTTTTTAAAATCCCTTATTAACACTCGGCAGGGCACGTTGTTTATCTTGCTTAGAATTGACGGGTGTTACACATTAGTGAGTGATGTCGGCGAGAAAATAAACGACCACTCGTGCGATCTCTGAAGAGGTGATGCACATACACTGAAGGTAGGCACCAACTGGAGATATGCAGCTCAGAACAGAAGGGGACTGGCACAACTATGCCCAATATCTGGGAACACCTCAGTAACACCACTAACATGGATTTCCATGCTGACAGCCAGAGCGATCTTCGGTATTTTTGGTATTTATTATTACTTTTATTACTGCTGTTACTGTTACTGTTATTGTCGGCATCGAATTTTGCAACAGTTCAGTTTACGACATTTTAAAACTGAAGGTTTTGGGCCTCCACCAGCTGAAATTGTCCTCGAGAACTTATAAAGTCAATGAAGTAACGTTTTACTTGTGCGGATCATTCCAAATACTA